TCAATTAGTTAAAAGATAGCTGCCCAAAATATAATATTATAAAGGAATGAGATTACTTTTTCATCAGGCTTAAGAAAACAGTCTACTAAACATCTTCAGTCTTTCCAAAGTTAGGAAACTTTATTCTATAGTTACTTCCAATCTTTCACTCTAGTTATTTGTGAGTTTTATAATGACAAAAGAAAAGATAAAAAGAAAATATGTTGACAAGGTAATTATTCTGTTGGACAGTTTATTTGATAAGAACAACCATGGCTCCTACATATAAAAGAATGCTTTACAAAAATCCTCAACAAAATATTAACAAATCAAATTCAACAATGTATAAAAAGAATTATATTTCACAACCAAGTGGAATTCATGCCAGGTGTGCAAGGCTGGTTCATTATTTAAAAATTAATTAAAGCCACCCATCACACTGACAGGATAAAAAAGACAAATGACATGATCATATCAATAGATGCAAAAGAAGCACTTAACAAAATGCAACACCTATTTGTGATAAAAATTTCTGGTAAACTAGGAATAGAAGGGACTTCCTCAACTTGATAAAGAATATTTACAAAAAACCTACAGATAACATCATATTTCATAGCAAGAAACTAGACCTTTCCCACTAAGACCAGGAACAAGGCAAGCATCATACTGGAAATCCCAGTCAATGCAATAAGATAATAAAAGGAAATAAGAGGTATACAGATTGGGAGAGAAGAAATAAAACGGTCTTCATTCACAGATGACTTGATTCTCTATGTAGAAAATTATAAAGAATCAACAATGACCAAAAAAAAAAAACCACGTAATTTTTGTAAGACTCTTGGACACAATGTTAATAAAAATAGGTTAATCACTTCCATTTATACCAGCAATGGACAAATGGAATTTAAAATTTAAAACACAATACAATTTATATTAGCACTAAAAAGATGAAATACTTAAGTGTACATTTAACCAACTATACATACAAGATCTTTATAAGAAAACTATAAAGCTCCCATGAACAAAAGCAGAGAACTAAATAGAAGGAGGCATATTCTGTGTTCATGATGGGAAGACTCAATAGTGTCAAGATGTCAGTTCTTCTTAACTTGATATATAGTTCAATGCAATCTTAATCAAAATCTCAGTAAGTTATTTTGTAGATATCAACAGATTCTAAAGTCTATGTGGAGAGGCAAAAGGTCCCGAGTAACTAAGATAATATTGAAGTATGAAATCACGGGTGTGATACTACTTGCTTCTCAGTCTTACTACCAAGCTATAGTAATCAAGACAGTGTGATAACTGCAAGAGAATAGACTAAGAAATCAAAGGAACAGAATAGAGAGCCTAGAAATAGAACCATGTAAATACAGCCAACTGATTTTTGCAAAGGAGCAAAAGCAATAAAATGAGGCAAAGACAGTCTTTCTGACAAATGGTGGTGGAACAAATGGACGTCCACATGCAAGAAGAAAGAAGAAACAAGGAGAAGGAGACAAAGAATAGACAACAACCCTTCACAAAAAATTAACACAATAGGGATCACAGACCTAAATGTAAAATACAAAACTTAAAACTCCTAGAATAACAGGAAAAAACCTACATGAACTTGGGTATGGCAATGACTTTTAGATATAACACAAAAAACCAACTCATGGAATAAAGAATCAATAAGCTAGACTTTATTAAAATTAAAAATTTCTGCTCTATGAAAGGAAGTGTGGAGAGTAAGAAAAGTTAAAGACTGAGAGAAAATATGTGCAGAAGATATGTCTGAAAAGGAACTACACAGAGAACTCTTAGTTCCAAAATACACAGAGAACTCTTTAAAATTCAACCATATTAAGACAGGCTATATACCTTAACAGATATCTCACCAAAAAAGATATATAGATGACAAATAGCCTTATGAAAAGATGCTCCACATCATATGTCATCTGGGAAATGTAAATTAAAACTATCAGATACCACAACACACCTGTTAGAATGATCAAAATCTAGAACATTGAAACACCAAACGCTAACAAGAATGTGAAGTAACAAGAACAGTTATTCATTATTGGTGGGATGCAAAACGGTCCAGCCACTTAGGAAGACAGTTTGTCAGTTCCTTATAAAAGTAAACATATCCTTACCATATGATCCAGCAATAGTGATCCTTGGTATTTACCCAAAGGAACTGAAAGCTTATGTCCAATCAAAAGCCTGTACATGGATGTTTAAAGCAGTGTTATTCACACTTGCCAAAACTTGGAAGAAACCAAGATGTCCCTCAGTAGGTGAATGGATAACTGTGGTATATCCAGACAATGGAATTAGTATTTAGTACTAAAAAGAAATGAGCTACCAAGTCATGAAAAGACATGGAAGAACCTTAAATGCATATTACTAAGTGAAAGAACCCAATCTTAAAAGTCTACATACTGTATGATTCCAGGTATATGACATTCTGGAAATGGCAAAATTATGGAGATAGTAAAAAAAGATCAGTGGTTGCTTTGGTTTGTGGAGGGAAATGAATAGTGATGCACAAACAATTTTAGGATACCAAAAATATCTATATGATACCATCACATACACTTCATTATACCTTTGTCCAGATGCAGAGAATATAAATAACATACAAAACACAAAGAAAGAACCTTAAATTAAGCTATGGGTTTTGGGTGATTATGATATGTGGCAATGTTGGTTCATTAGGTTTAATAAATGTACCAGTCTGGTGGACGATGTACATCATGGGGGAAGCCACGCTTGTGTGAAGGCATGGGGTACATGAGAAACCTCTTGTTAACTGCCTCTTGATTTTGCTGTGAACCTAAATTGCTACCAAAAAAAATAAAGTCTTTAATTTTTTTTTAAAGTGTGCTTTATTTCTCATGTGTTTTGTTTTATTATGACATTCTCACAAAAACTCTGCAAGGGAATTGCATTTATCTAAATAATATTTTTACAAATGAAGGAAGTAACGCTCATAGATGTTAAGTAAATTTTATAGTATTCTAAAAGTAATAAATGATGCAGCCTGGATTAGATTTTAGGTTTTTGTGACATGAAGTCTATGTTCTCTCTACTTTTCCAGGAGTCAGCAAACTGCAGTCTATGGGCCAATAAACTTAACACCTGTTTCAGTAAGTAAGGTTTTATTGGATCACAGCTAATTATTGTCTATGGTTGCTTTCACACTGTAACCGCAGAGTTGATTCATTGACACAGAGATCTTGTGGCCTAAAATAGTTACTGTCTAGCACTTTACAGAAAATTTTATCAATCCTGACCTATATACTCTGTCTTATCATAGTCAGTTTTCATCCTAAATCCTGGACTTGAGTTCGAATTTTAACTATCCTTTGGAACACAACCAATAAATAATTTACAGAATGCACCATGTGTTAAATACCATGATATATATTGAAGATGATTTAAAAATACATGTGACATGTAAACAAATTACAATTTTATTTAATAACAAATAACAGAATTAATCTCAAAAAAATAAAATCATTTGCCCAAATTATAGTTTGATAATGAAAACAAAAAGTTTTCCAGATGATAAAACCTGTTTATTACCTAGAAAACAGCAGTGTATTAAATTAATATTCAATAGTTCCGGACTCACTACCAACTAAAGGAGTAAATATTAGCATTCTAAAAAAAATTTTAGAGTTACTAAATTATAAAATAATGGGAATCAAAGAATAGTTGCAAGCACACACGTGCACAACTTAGAAAACTGAGGACAACTATAAAGATATTGATTACATGCGCAACACTGATCCGATATTCCAAATTCCACCTAAAAAGATATAATTCACACTTCACAAAAACACTTGAAATTAACTCATTTTTTCCTCTTGTAATACTCTTTAATTCAATTACTTTTCTGAAAATACATCTTAAGAGAAAGAATAATTTAACTGAAGATTTGTAGCAAACCGAGCCAATTCAGAGTCTATGAGCAATGAGAAAAGGATAACATGAGAGGGATTCACAAAAATCATCCCAAGTATAACTCATTTTCAGTGCATCCATGTTGGAGAGACAGCAGAGCTGTCTTTCACCCACAGACATAGGCACAGCACCGTCTGCCCCCCAATAGGTTCATCCTCCACCTTCCTGTACATCCTGAGCTCCTGCTGCCACCAGAGAATGTGTGAACGCTCAGAGCAGCAGAAGACAAAGAGGAGAGGCAGAAGAGCAGAAGGTGAGTGTGTGCATGTGTCCTGTGGATGAGTGTTTGTCTATGTATGTGTCTATTCCTTCCCCAAAGAATTTGAAGTGGTTTGTAAAATAACACCCAACCTACCACAGTTCAAGATACGAAAAACAGAGTCAGGATCTGCATGAATATTACAAAGTGGCAATTTAGGAACAAGTAGAAAAGATAAGCATCGGTCTCATTATTTAATATGTCTGTCATTTGATAAATGAATTAGATATATAAATGTCTCTGAGATATTAGCCGCAGCATTCGGGTACATTTTTGAGCAATTAGCCTTCAATTTACCAAATGGTCACAAGGATGAATTCTACCAAAGACTTTTCTGTCCTTTCCTTTTTAGGGCCACAATAGGTCTCTTTTTACATATCCCAGGGCCATACTGAAGTCATATTTTAAAATACAAACACACTAAAATTTGCCAATATTACTCACAGTGATAAAAAAAAAAAATCAAAGGCCCACGAATGAATTTGATTCTTAGAAATATTATTTTTTGAGATCGAGGTTTAAAAACTTTTTATGAATTATAGTCCCTTATGCACAGAAGCACTCATTTAAAAAGTCTTAAGTATTACTGAAAAATTAAATATTCTGAAAAAAACAAAAGATTATCCTTACTTTTTACTATTAGTTCAAACATACACATTTACCTACCTACAGAATCCTCTGACTCAGTTTATCCTTTTGACAAGTGGTGATGCAAAAATGAATCAAGCAAGTAATACCAGCATTTAGACCATCAATCATCCTAACCCATCAGTCATAAATATCAAGATGCCATATAGGGCTTACCTACCTACATAGAGAACACCCTCTTTTGTCTTTCCTGCTGCTTCTGCCACACCCTGTTTGGTTTTTTCAGCAGCAGCCACGACTCCCTCCTTGGCCTTTGAAAGTCCTTTCATGAATACATCCATGGCTAATGAATTCCTTTACACCACACTGGAGAACACAAAATAGAATTTCAGTGAGAACTTTTGGGTAGAATAAAATAAAATTAGAACCACCCAAGATAAAAACCACTGAAAGGTCAGTACAAATCCCAAAAGTGTGAGACTCTTATTTTTTTTATAGACTCTTATTTCAACCACTGGACCCCCCCACCCCAAAAAAAAACCTTTTTTTTTTTTTTTAGCTTCTGCATTAAAAATTTAGCATCCCTCATCCATCTTGGCTAGTAAATTCTAGCTGCCTAAACATGGAGTAGGATGGATCATCTGAGTTGTTCTTACTGTATCTTCGAAGTGTAGTTACACGAAAAGACGGACCCCTCTTTCAACTTCCGAGAGTCCAAATGGTGACAAGGTAAGTTAGAAGTAAGTACGTTTAAAAGATCACAGGAAAAGAACAGGAGCTGGAGACATGGGTTCAGGGACTGTCTTAAAATGAATGCCAGAAGAGGGCTAACTGGTCGATCACCAAGAGAGTAGGTAAGAAAACTACTCACTCTGGGTGTGGCTCAACCTCAGGCCCACAGTGAGCCCACACGCACCCGCCCTAATCCACCTGACCCGCCATCCCCGCCCCCAACTATCTACTCTGAGCAGGCGCCAGTGCAGAGCCGGGATCAGTCTCCTGACTCGCGCCCGCCACCCGAGGGGGCGTTCTCCGCGCGCGTGCATTCGCTACCCACCCGGCGCCAGCACCTGTTAACCCCTTACCACCTGTTGACTTGCCCTCCCTGCGCTTCCAGTTAATGATCTGCCGAACACAGCTTGCTTACTTCACCGAGAAAACGGAGAGGGCGGACTGGGGGATTTAAGGTAATGGAGAAATAAAAGTTGGCTGCTCACGCTCCATGGAGCATCCTCGCGTTTCCCAAGGGAAAAGCGTATCCCAGAGAACCAGCGTAACCTTTCAGCCTTTGGGGACGAAAGAATGGGATATCGGATGCCAGAGGAAGCCAGGTCAACTTACTTTCCTCAGCTCGCTAAAGAGATAAGCACCCACCTCTGAGACACTCGACACAGCGGGTCCTTATGGCAGCAACAACCTCCCTCCCAGAAGTCCACGACTCCTCTCCTCCCCGGTTTCCCCCAGTATTTACAAAGCTGCCCGTTTAGATCCATGGGTACTTACCTGGGCCCCTCTGATCCTCACAACTACAGTTCCTCTCAACAACCCCCTTACAGAAGGTTTATAAAAACAATTCCCAAATATTATTTAAATGGGAAGAGGGAGAATTAGAAGCGCACAGGAAGGGAGGAGGCGGCACCAGGAGAGGGATGGTCCCCAGAGGAGGCTGCTGTCAGCACAACCCGGTGATGAGAGGCTGGGGGCGTGGGAGGCAAACCCACGAACCTGTCGTCGAATTGCCACTCCCCGTCCCCCGCACAATTGGATCCGAGAGAAAGAGACAGAGGGTCGGAAGGGAAGGCAGGGAGAGAGCGCAAAGGATGCTAAGGGCCGGGCTCGGTCCTCGGGTCTGCTCCAAAGCCAGCACACACCTCGCCCCACGCTGCGGCGCTCGGTCTCTCACCCCCTCTGTCGGGTCCCCTTCTCGTCGTCGTGGTCTTCCTCCTCTTCCTCTTTCTCCTCCTCCTTCTCCTCCGCTCACCGCCCCCGCAGCTGATTTGTCAGCGCCTCTCCCCGCCCCTCTCCCGGCGCTCGCTGCTTTCCCAGCCGCGTGCACTTCACTCCTCTACTCGGGTGAGGATGGGGGCGGGGGCGACGGTGCGGGGGGAGGCTGTACCTCCAACTCCAGCCGCTAACCTGTGCCCGGGGACGGAGAGGTGGCGTGTTCTGAGCTTCACCTCGAGTTCAGGATCCAGGGGACTCTTGGGGCGATCTGGAGCTGTTAGGCTTAGGCTGATGTTTCTCCCTCTTTCCCATCCCCCCTCCTTCCTCCTTCGCTGTCTCCGCCCTTCCCTCTGGTTCCTCACGGGACCCTCTTGTCGGAGAAACCTTAGTGGAGTGGGGGTCTGAGGGATCGACCACCAAAGATAGAGCCGTCATCTTGGGAGGCTACTGAAGGTGGCAGGCAGCTGGGGAAGGGTGCTCAACCAGTGCTACCAGGAGCACGTCCCCCTCGGATCGCTGAAATTCTGATGAACGATGGTCGGACCCAACGTTAAGGATGTTTTTGTTCAAGTATTACTCAGATTTTCGTTTGCTCTTATCCTCATAACCACGGATGAGCCCGAAAAGGTCCCGCGGATGGAGAGGAGACTAGTAAGGAAGAGTTACAGGTTGCGGCAGGAGGAGCCTCTTGGAATCTCCTTCCACCCCACCATCACCATTTTCTTGTCCGCCAATCAGCGGCTGCCAGACGCCGATTTTTCCCATCAGTGGAACGCGGAATAAATATTCCCCAGCCGTCGATACCAAGCGGTCTTGGGTTTTTCTTTCTCGAGATGGAATTTACTTTACACACGCGAGTGCCTGATGGAGGAGACGAATCTAGCGTGGTTTATTCTCCTGAACCATCACATTCGATTTTTTCGTCCCTTCTACACACTACTCACCTTTCTCATTCGATTCACGGTGCCCTCGAAGCTGACACCCCACACATCCCTTCCCACACACAGACACGCAGACATACGCGCGGGCTGGAAGACAATTTTTTGCATTGCTTAACACATTTCACCTCTTTGGGAGCTGGAGGGAAAACAGCTGTTCCTGGATCACACCAGAATGGAGAACCAAGCTCCTCCCTCTAACAGAACGCGTTCGCTGTTTGTGCCTGAATTGGGAGGATGATTTTAGCACTGGAAGGGAGAAACAAGTCTTTGCTGTATGTTTTTTTTGTTTGTTTTGTTTTGCTTTATGTTTCTTTTATTTCTTTTATTTCCTTTTTTTTTTTTTTTTGGTAGAAAAAAATGCTTTCTGTAGCCCCGCACTCTTTTGGGTTCTGAAATTTGAGTAAAATTCAATTTTTTAAAGATATTTTATTTATTTATTTATTTATTTATTTGACGGGGGGGGGAGCATAAGCAAGGGGAGAGGGAGAAGCAGGCTCCCCACCCCAGAAGAGAGCATGCCCTGAGGCTGGAACCCAGAACCCTGGGATCATGACCTGACCGGAAGGCAGACACTGAACTGACTGAGCCACCCAGGCATCCCAGTAAAATGCAATTTAAATCTACAAAACAACTCTTTGAAACCAAAATCAAAACTTAACAACAATAACAACAAAACAGGAAACAGGGACCATATACATATACATATACATATAGATGATATAGATATAGATGTAGATATTGCTTAAACACATCCTTGCACTATTGGTCTGCCCTTTTTAAAAGCAGCCTTTCCAATTGCTCATATTTTGTTTCCTTGAGATCAGAAAAAGAAGGTTAAACTTTGGAGCTGGCTTGCTGTCTGGTTTTGAGACTTTGAACAAGTTATGTCCTCTGTTCAGTTTTGTTTTGTAAATGAGGAGATGAATGCAGATGAGCCCTCTCTTTTCAACTTTTTACTCTGAAAAATGTTTAAACATAAACAAAAGTTGAGAGAATTTAGGATTCCATGTGAATATCACCCAGCTGTCACCATTTGTTAATGTATGGCTAATCACTTTTGATCTATATGTTCACCCACTCTACATTTTTTTATCACCACCTTTTATGTTTTACTAAATCCCAAGAATTACATATATCCTTTCACCTTTAAATATTTCAGCCTGTATGCATAAAATATAAGAACTGTCTTAAAATATCCACAATAACACTTAGATGGTCTTTTTAAAAATTGATGTATAATATACAGATGGTGAAATCTTCAGATCTTAAGTATTCCTTTAAATTAGTTTTGAGAAATGCATGCATTAGTGTAACCTACACCGTCTTGATATGGTTATAATTTTAATTTGTGTTGTTATTTTATTTGGGATTTTTGCATTTGTATTTTCAGTAAGGATCTGTAGTTGTTTATCTGTGGTTCTGTGTGTATGGGGGGGGCATGTGGGTATATAAGTGTGTGTTCTTTCTGTTAACCCACACCATTTTGAAAACAGAACATTTTCATCACCCCCAAAAATTCCCTTTTGCCCTTCATAGTTGTACATATTTTAGAATTGCACAAAAATTGAATCATACAATATGAAATGTTTTCCCTTTCCCTCAACATATTTGTGAAGTTCATTTATGTCGTGACATGTATCAATAGTTTGTTTCCTTTTATTGCTTTTGGGGTCTTTTTTTTTTCTTTTATTACTGCAATAAAATATCTTTTCCACTGTGACCTATCACTGCAAGTTACCTTGATAGACTATAATGACAATTATTTAATGTATCATATGACATATTTATAGTTTAAAAGGGATCCCCTTGAAACCTAGGGCTTTAAATCAAAGGGGCATATTCTTAGGTCCCATGACAGACCAACGAGAGAATTATTTTGGAGTGGCTATTACATTTTTGTGCTTCTTATAGCATAACATGATACCATAACACCTTTATATAGTACTTTATGATTCACAAAAAACTAATGTACTGTATCATTTAATCACAACAAATAGGTAGATTAAGTTTTATTATGTACCTTTTATAGTCAGGGAATCTGAAGCTCAAAGAATTTTAGTTAAAGGCTGAAATTGCCTAGCTCTTCAGTGGCAGAGCTAAGATAATCTAGCAGGAACCATGCCAAAAGGCACAACTCTCTCCTGAGTTATCAGTTTCTCTCTAAAACCTTACAGACTGGGTGGGAGGAAAAAGATGGGACCCAGTTCTGTTAGAAATAGCCTTAGGGTTTAGATTTGACTGTAGAAATCAAGAAGAACTTGAGCTATTATAAAACAGAGCATTCATATTTGAAATTTTGCCAAAAGGAAAAGAAGGGGAAAAGAAAAAAGAAAGAAATTGTAAGCCAATTTTTGGTCAATTAGAATTATAGTTATAATTCTGTATTCTACTCCTCTTTTCTCCCCCAAAGCATCTTGAATACAGTAAGCATTCAGTAAACTTTTAATTACTGGTGATATCAAGAGTGACATTGGTTATATTCTACTTATAATTCTTTAGCTCTGCATTCTTAAGGAAATGGAATTACTCTAAGGACAAAAAAAAAAGAAGTTAATAAAGACTTTTTTTAATATTTTCATCATTGATTGACATCATAGCCTTAAGCAAGCTTTTAACTGTGTAAATATAACTTTAAATTCTAAACTTGAAAAAAATTTAACTCACAAATGTCCTGTACTTCATAAAGAATATGGAAGAATAACCTACTGAGAGACATTGCTGATGTGCGCATTTTGTTAATAACTAGTACACATGTGTTCGGTTTTCTCTTTGAAAAATGAAATCCAAACACTGCTATTCTCTCATGAGATTGTTTTATCTGAATTTAATATAGTAATTTAGCTAGAGATTAACGTTCTGTGAGATATATGGTTAGCCTAGACTCTCTTTGTATTCCCCTTACAACTAATTTTCTAAGTGTGCCATATGGTAAGCTTGTGCAGCAAAGTGGAATGTCATGAAAAATAAGAAAGCTTCTTGTGACCAAGTATTAAAGAGCAGATAGGAATTGATTTAATATCTTTAAGTGAAGAAAATACAATCTTTACTGTCTTTGGATAATATTCTAGATTTGTTGTGAACACAAGGGACAATGTAATGTTGATTCTTGGGCCACCTGTATCTTATTCTCTATTTGTACCTTTCTCTCATTTTCTGCAGATGTACAAAAAGCATGCCCTAGTGACATCATGATGGGTTTCTCTTGTAATTTCATAGTGAGCACAGAAGCGAAGGCCTCATAGATACAGGTGGAATAACAATTGTGTACAATTTTTAAAAGCAGTTGAGCTTGATACAGGGCAATAAAGTTACTCCAAAAAGATATGAAAAACAGTGAAGAGGGAATATAGTGTACAGAGGAGATTTTCTAATTTGACCCCATGAACAACTTCATTTTTTCTACAATACCATAGGTCACAAAAAATAATGGACATTTACTGTAGCACAATGTAACTTATCATATCTATTAATATTGTAGTATATCCTCAAAAATGTAGAATGACTGCAAATTGTGACCACAAGAAAGTGCCATGTGAAATAGGTGAAATTCAATTGCATATCATTTTAAATGTCCCTGTGAGTTTTTTGGTGCTAAGAATACAAACACACGCATGATTCCAAGACTAAGTACCTTAAAGCCAGATAGAAAAGACATTTGAATATTTTAGGATTTAAAAAGTTCAAACACGGGGATGCCTGGGTGGCTCAGTGGGTTAAAGCCTCTGCCTTCGGCTCAGGTCATGATCCCAGGGACTTGGGATCAAGCCCCTGCTGAGCAGAGAGC